CTTCTAAGTTAGGTAAGCCTCACCTGGTTACTTAGCCCAACGATAGCGAAACTTCTAAAATTATGCTTATGTGTTTGTGTTAAAAAGCAAAAATCATTGAATATTAACACAAATTCGAATCAGGATCACCAACAAGTTTGTTCACCATGCGAGTACAAGATAACAGACTTAATGTGATTGCGCCTGAATGAAAAAGGATAAGAAAAGGGTGAGTAAGTTAGGACTAGATGTAATAATATGATACAGATTGGTTTGTACAGGAATGAAACTTATGACCGCAAACCGTAGGAAGTATTACTACGATATCCTTGGTTCACGAGTTAGTACCTATCAACGCAACCTTGATCGAACTAAAAGTATTTAGCCTAAATTGAATACTTGTGTGATGCTGGTTTTCTTTTGTGCTCATAAGAGTTTGTTTGAGGACAAACAAAGATTTAAGTGTGGGAGAATTTGATAACACTGAAACACACTGCGTATTTGCCTCGGATTGTACATGTCTATTATCGTTTAATTGTTATTTTCTTGCATTATGCTTATGTTTTGTCTTGTTTTCAGTTACATTTCCTAATAAGAGCCTTTCACGAAGAAATGGAGCAAAAAGAACAGAAAACCAAGTTTTTGGTGAAAATTACACACATGGCGTTGGCCATGAAGTGTAGGGTTTCTCCCACGTTCCAACGGTCACAAGACCAGGTCTCCCACCTTTTGTACACATGGCAAACGCCATGTCCAGATGGCGGGCGCCATCTTTGATTTTGGTGGTCCAGTCAAGGACGGTTGGAGAATGAGGTCATGACTAGAGATTTTCTCTCCCACGATTCTTGAAGGTTCAGCTTGACGTCCAAGGCATTGTTTCACTATAAATAGGACTTAGATGATTAGTTTTAGGCATCCACTTTTAGTTGCAGCATATGCCATAAATTCACTTTGTTAAAGTGATATTTTTGACATCGGAAAATTATCGCACCATTGTTGTGATCGAGTGTGGAACATCATAGCATAGAAGTTTAAATCTTGTCGTCATTTTACTTACAAGTTTGTACTAGTTCAAGTCTCCAATTTGGAGCATATTTTTAATACAATTCGCATTATTATTATTATTATCATTTATTTCTCGCACTGTTTTACATTTGTTTATTTCCCACATCGCTTTACTTTGTTATTTCTTGCACTGCTTTTAATTTGCTTACTTTATCGCTCTGATTTATTTTCTTTATTTTCTCCCACACATTACTTGATTTATTTTATCGCAAGAGATTCTTTTTCAAAACCGCACCTTAGCGTATCATTCTCGTTATTACTTTTCAAAATTAATTGCACACTTAACACGCATTTTCCCTAAATGACTTATTCCTATAATCAATTATATGTTATGTTGTTTAACGCAGTCGTGTCTAGCTAAATCATTAGTGCTGGAATATGAGGATCGTCGGTTCGAAGATATTCTATATGATGTATCTGTAGGAATGGTTTAGGGGTTGTTTTGGTTTTAATACAATTTTTCTGTGGTTTATTCGATCGGGTGCTATGAAAGTAGATGCGTGATTACGTGGGGTAAGATCGAAAGCCGTCTGACACTTAAAATAAAATTTGGTTAGATTTTGATTAAGAAAAAACACATAAGCACTTTTTTAATCAATTAGGAAGATTTAATATTATTAGAAAGTGATTTTAAAACTATTTTCGGACGCGTTCATAGGTTTAAGATCCGGTTGGCTGAGCATATGCCGAAAACCCTTTTGTGTTAAAAGTTTCCAATCAAAAACACTTTTAACTGAGTCTTAGAGGTAATTACATAAAAAAGGATTTTTCACTTTAACGCAATACGCGACCGGTGCAGCATGAGCGGCTGGTATAGATTAGAGGTCAAATATGGTTCCAATTATGCTAACGTGATGATTCCTTTTTAATTAACTCATTTTCAAGGAAGAAAATATTGCCCCATAAACAATTCTATTTAGACAAAATAGGAGTATTTTCTTATCAATGTAAATTGCATTTCAATATTGTTTCTCTGAATTTACTCTATCTTCATTATTTTAATTTTTCGTGCACTCTATAATCCTGTTTGATTAAGTCTAAAATAGAACATTGTAACAATAGTTATAGATAGCTTGACATTGGTCTTTTTGAGAACGATAATCTTTTGTATTACTTTGACGTACTCCGTATACTTGTGGAAAATACGATATCAGAACCTAACACGACAAAGAAAACCTTAGCTCAACCTGAATTGTTTAGAGTTATGACAAATGAGTACAATTCACTTATAAAGAATGGCACTTGGACTCTTACAACTCTTTCTCCTCACCAGAAGTACATTGCCTTCCAGGTGGGTTTTTAGAGTAAAGGAAAATGTATTTGGAAGCATTAACAGGTAGAAGAAAATGTTTGTAGCAAAAGGATTTCATCAACAATAAGGGTTTGAAACCTACCACCATTAGAGTCATTTTGTCCCCGACTCTCACATACAAATGGGAAATTCAACAAATAAATATTAATAATTTATTTTCCAATGGTGAACTTCAAGATGAGGTTTATATGCAAGTGCCATCTGACTTTATCAAATCTATCTTAACTATTGTATGCAAGTTTAAAAAGGCGATATATGGTCTAAAGCAGGATCCAGGGGCATGGTATGTAAAAGCTTCATTAAGCTTTACTTTATTTTGGTTTCTCTTCCAACAAATATGATCATTTAGTCTTTGTGTACAAGCATAAATACATCTACTATATGCATTAGTTTGTGTTGATGGCATACTCTTCATTGGTACATCCTCTAAACTAATAAAAAATCTTACCACCAAACTCCATGATAAATTTTCATTGAAAAAATTGGTATATACTAAATTTTTTCTTGGCATTGAGGTGCATTATCAATCAAATGTCTCCATGCTCCTGACACAATACATCAAAGATCTTTTGTCCAATGTCAACATGGTTGATGCTAATGGGGTTAAAACATTTATGTTCAACAATTTCAAGCCGAACAAGCATGACATTGATACATTAATTAATCCTTCATTATACATGTCTACAATTAGAGCTTTTTAATATGTCACAATAACTAGATTTGATATTGCTTATTGTGTCAATAAAGCTTATCAGTTTATGGTAAATTCTCTTAAAACTCATCAGAGTGTGGTCAAAAGAATACTCGGATACTTAAGTGGGTACACCTACTCATGTCCTAATGCTCTCCCTAGCAAATCCTCTTCAAAAGTTTTTTTAAGGGCCTACAATGATTTGTGTTGAGCCAATGATCTTGATAATAAAAGATCAACACCATGATCTTGTGTATACTTTGGTCTTACCTGGTTTCTTGGAGATCAAATAAGCAATTACTTGTGGCACGATCAAGCACTAAAGCAGAGTATTGAGCTTCAACACATACAACCTCCGAAGTATTGTGGCCTAAGTCTCATTTATCTGAACTATGCATCAACTATCTGGCACCAACATTGATGTGTGATAGCCTAAATGAAGTCATGTTGTATCGTAATCCCATACTTCATGCCAGGACTAAGCACATATAGTTTGATATTCACTTTGTTCGTGTAAGAGTAGTAGCAAGCAAACTCTACATTTAACATGTTTCAGGACCAACATAAATATTAGATGCACTCACAAAGCTTTTGCCAACTAATTTATTCCAAGACTTTAGGACTAAACTCAAATTCATTTCTCTTCACCAACCATGAATTTGTGGGAGAGTATTAAAGATAATAAAAAAATAGCATAACTACTTTTGAAAAGCTGGTTAGGATTGATTAAACTAGGTAGGAAAATTTGTTAAAATAACTAAGTTGATAGTTTGTGTAAATACACAATAAACATCCACATGTTTTGTTATGAACTAATACAATTTATATAAAGAAGACTTGTTCTAGCTTAGTTCATTCAATAGAAGATAAACATATTTGAATTTTGTGAGTTTTAGTTGATGATGATATAGGTTAAGATCTAATTTTGCAATTTTTTTTAGTTTAATAGATTAATGGCTGGGATTTCACTTCTTAGAAATAAATAAATGTATATCTCGAGTTCGAACTTACACCAATGTAATCAATGTTCCTGCATCTAACAACTGAGCAAGATTAACGAACTAATTTTAGAATTTATTTATTTATTTAATTTTAGATCTAACTTTTTAAGTGAAAATCCCAAAACTCATTAATGTGATGAAACCAAAGGAGTTTTTGTTTTTGCAATTAATATAAATTAAGCCTATTTTATTTTATATTTAATAAAGTTTAATTTAAAATTTTGTATTTTAAAATCATTTTTTCCTTATTTAAAATATTTTTTAATTTTAAGGAAGAAAACCATAGATTAATAAATAAATAAATTGAAAAAAAAAAAAAAAAACAGTCATAGTAAAGATGGGTTAATGTATAGAGCATAAGCCACATATAAAAAGCATGAGAACAAGTCATGAAAGTGTTGCTCATGCTAGAGTGTAAGCAACACTAATGGACTAAACTAATAATACTCCATAGTTTAGAAAAAGTGATTATGCATCTTGAAAAGTGACAAAATATGAATTAAATAGATCACATAGAGAATGAAATCAGTAATCTTTAAATAAGGTGTAATCATTCTGTCAATTTGCAAATTTTGCATTAGCATAATTTAATATGAAAATGGTCCTCCATAGCTGAATTAGTAAACCTGGTTAACATTAATCTTACTCTACTTAATTTTGCATAAATCAATTCCTCGAGTTTTCTTCCCTCTTGTTTCCTTTCCACTCACTTTCTTTCTTCCCTAATTTACTATTACTCTCAAAACCCTAAAAAACCACAACCCTCACTTTTCACTCTCAATTTCCGCAGTTTCCGAATTAATTTCCTTTTCCTTCAAATCTTTTTAAAATATTTTGATTTCGTTTTGAAAATCGTTCCCAATTCATATATATTCAGTTTCATCTATGTGTCAATTTTGATTGAATTTTGAATTCTATAACCTTAATCACTACCTGCATTTGTGGTTTCGTGATGGAGGATAGTGAAACAGTTGATGATCAGAACTCAGGATGGTTCCAAGTCAAAAAGGTTTTTCTTTTTTCTCTCTCTCTTTTTTTTTTTTAATTAAATTTTTTTAATTCGGTTGATGCAATCTACTTTGAGTTCTTATTTGTAACTGTTTTCTTCTTTGTTGTTGTTGATTTTCCTATTTAAGACAGAGATAAAGGAAAAATGTGTTTTTTTAATACAGTTTTTAGTATCATCTGTTTTCTTTAAGACTAGTTTGTAATTTGGTTGTGGCAAATGCTAATTCTTGTTCATTTTCTCTATATTTAGATATATATAATATTTGAGTCTCGGATCGAAGATTGTTTACTGTTGTTATGGATTGTTATGCAAGTTTTAGTTACATTCCTTAATTTTTGTTGTTTCCATGTTATCCAGAAGCATAGGAATGTTTCGAAGTTCTCCTTGCAGAGTTGGATGGGGGGATTTTCAGGAAAAAGTTCTTCTAATTCTCAAGGCAAACAGCAGTCAATGAATAGAAAGGAAAGCAATTCACACGGAAAGCAGAAAACTCGTGCTTCTAGGTCCAGGGAGAGTTTTTTACAAAGCCCTGTCCCTGCAAGTGTTGCGAGTTCCCCTTCCGTGTCAAACGAGGAGGTGGGCACAAGCTATATCAATACAAATGTGAGTAGACCTGAAATTGTAATTCAGAAGTCAGATCCACTAATTAGCACGGAATCCGAAGGTAAACATGAAGAAGCTAAGAAGTTACGTGAGACTGATAAGACTGATGTAGCCCAGCAATCAAGAAGGGCTGATTTGAGGGAGGGGTGCCTGACACTGCCGCCACATGAAAACTTGATTGGAGTTGGAATCAAGTTTGGTAGTATTGGAGATGATAGTTTGCTTAGCTGTAGAAAGCATGAAAATACCCCTGATCATGGTGATTCATATCATGCCCAAGAAAAAGACTCGACTGCACCATCTGCTGGTGAAGAGAATGTTCCTGACCCAAACTCTTCATTTAGATGCGAGGATGAAGTATTGGGAGAGAATAGTAACGATGTTAAGAATATATCTCTGGAGCATTCCAACATTCAAGAAGTGAATGGGGAAAAAGTTGGTCTAGAAGATGATACATTATATTGTGATGATAAAAATGAAGAAGTAAATAAACCGGCAACCAACCATGGGATTGATCATGAACATTTGTCCGCCAAAGATGATGCGGTGGTTGCAAATCAAGCGCATAGCCTTGTCAATGTGGCAAGTGATATCAAAATTTCGGAAATGGCAGAACAAAGTTGCTGCTCGGGGGAAGTAGTTACTTCTTCACAAGTGCCCGAGATTTTCACTGATTCCACTCCTATTGAAGAGGTTAGGGATCAAGCAGATGGTAATGTTGAAAATGTTTTTTCTGAGTCACATAATATGGATGCTCTAGAATTAGCCGATTCAAATGAAAGCAGAGAAAGGTTTAGACAGAGGCTTTGGTGCTTTCTATTTGAGAATCTTAATAGGTCTGTAGATGAACTGTATCTTCTCTGCGAACTAGAATGTGATTTGGAGCAGATGAAAGAGGCAATTCTTGTTCTCGAGGAGTCTGCATCTGATTTTAAAGAGCTAATCGCTAGAGTTGAGGAATTTGAAAAGGTTAAAAAGTCTTCTCAAGTAATTGATGGAGTTCCTGCCATTTTGAAGAGTGATCATCGCAGGCCACATGCTCTCTCATGGGAGGTATGCTTGATCATATTTTGTTGCTATTAGCTTGCTTCCTTCCATTCTTCATGTTGATATATTGTGGTTTCAATATACCACCATGTGCCTTTCATGGGTTTATGCACTGTACTTGATGTTGTGGACCTGCGTAAGAGAAAAGTAATTTATTCACTAATAACAAATTCATCATTTAAAAAAAAGCAATGTCTCCCTGAACTAAACAGATGTATGGTGACCGTCCGGGTCTTCCGATTCTCAGAAAGGATGAACTCTAAAGATGATTACTACACTTGCTATTTTTGAATATGAGGGTCAATGTGAGTGTAATGTGCATGTACATTTAGTAATTATCTATATGATAATATTATGCACAGTTACAGTTTCCTTTCACTACTGTGTTTTGTTTCTTTGACTTCTTTGTTTTAATATGATATAACTTGATACTGAAGTTTACTCTTTTTAGCCCTCTGGCATTTCAGAGGGATAAATTTTTCTCCGTGACTATGTCCATCTTGATATGTCTTTTCAATTCTACATAAACATATAGCCGTGTATGAGCAAATACATATTTGGAGTCTCTATGTTGAATGATTGGGTATCAATATGTCGGGTCAAATCAAATGTAAGCTTAATAGCCTATCACTTTGAAGAATGACCTTACGAACTTACCGACCATTGGGGGTTGCTTATTTTATAACTTATGCATGATATGTCATTCCAACTGGATCCAGTTTACAACTTGTGCTATTATAAACATTGTAATTTAGACTAACAATGGATATATCTGTGAGGACTTGTGGTCTTGTCCTGTGTAATTTATTGTTTCCCATAAGCAGGTTCTCTGACTTCACATACAAGATTATGAATATTTCCTATTAGAAATCTGCTCAATGTATTTCTTATGCTAAATTTGTTAAGTTGCAATGCTAATTTCGTTTAGTTGCTCTGGTTCTAGGTCCGCCGGATGACAACTTCACCTCATAGAGCAGATATACTGTCTTCATCTCTTGAGGCTTTTAGGATGATTCAACAAGAGCGTGCTAGTAATAACACAGAAAATTCCATGTCTAAATGTTTGACTTCTGAATCTGTTGGCAATGTAAAAATATCTAGGGTCAGTGATGGAACACACAATGCCAAAGATCCAGTGACTAAATCAAGAAAGCATATTGTATCTTCTGTTGCTATCACGGTGCAAAGTGGACGTGACACACGCAAAAGCATATTAGCTTCAGAAGTTAATTTATCAAAATTAGCTCCCTTGGAAAGTTCTTCTTCTTTTGCTGCTACCAAGGGTAAAAGAGACCTTGGATCTGGGGCTGACAAGCTGCTTTCTAAGAAAGATAAGGCACCAACAGTAGTTATTAATGAGAAGAACTCCAAGTCCACAGACAACCTTAGAAGGCAGATACTGCTGTCTGAAAAGGACAAGGAGAAGAGGAGTACTGCACCGGGAAAGTCCTTGAATGCTTGGAAGGAGAAGAGGAACTGGGAGGACATACTTTCATCTCCATTTCGTGTTTCTTCCCGCATGTCACATTCACCAAGCCTCAGCAGGAAAAGTGCCGAGCGTGTACGTACACTGCATGATAAACTAATGTCTCCTGAAAAAAAGAAGAAAACAACTTCCGACTTAAAAAAGGAAGCTGAAGAAAAGCATGCTCGGGCTATGAGAATCAGAGGCGAGTTAGAGAATGAGAGAATCCAGAAGCTTCAGCGTACGTCTCAAAAATTAAATCGTGTCACTGAGTGGCATGCTGTTCGTCATATGAAGTTACGAGAAGGCATGTTTGCCCGCCATCAACGGAGTGAATCTCGTCATGAAGCTTTTCTAGCTCAAGTGGCAAAGAGAGCTGGTGATGAAAGTAGCAAAGTAAATGAGATCCGATTCATTACTTCCTTAAATGATGGAAATAAAAAATTGATATTACGTCAGAAGCTTCACGAGTCAGAGTTGAGAAGAGCTGAAAAGCTTCAGGTGATTAAATCTAAGCAAAAGGAGGATCTGGCAAGGGAAGAAGCTGTTCTGGAACGCAGAAAACTCATTGAGGCTGAAAAGTTACAGCGTCTTGCTGAGATACAACGGAAAAAGGAGGAGGCTCAAGTCAGAAGGGAAGAAGAAAGAAAAGCATCAAGTGCAGCACGGGAGGCAAGAGCAATTGAACAGCTCCGTAGAAAGGAGGAAAGAGCCAAAGCACAACAAGAAGAGGCTGAACTTTTAGCACAAAAATTGGCAGAAAGACTTAATGAGAGTGAACAACGTCGCAAGATTTACCTGGAGCAAATTCGGGAGAGAGCAAATTTGAGGGATCAGTCATCCCCTTTGCCCCGTCGATCATTGAATAAAGACGGACAAGGTAGGTCTACACCCACAAACAGCAGTGATGATTCTCAGACAAACATTGCATCTGGAATAGGTTCTAGTCTTGGAGTTGGCAATATCGCATCACAACCCTCAATAAAGAGAAGAATTAAGAAAATTCGACAAAGGCTTATGGCTTTAAAGTATGAGTTTGTTGAGCCCTCTCTTGGTGGTGAAAGTGCTGGAATTGGATATAGAGTAGCAGTGGGTGCTGCCAGGGCAAAAGTTGGTCGGTGGCTTCAAGAACTTCAAAGACTTCGGCAAGCAAGAAAAGAAGGGGCCTCAAGTATAGGGCTGATAATTTCTGAAATGATTAAGGTATTATTTTTTCATTCACTGGAAATTATATCTCTATCCTTTTCTATGGATCCTTAAAACCAGAAGTTATAAAATGTTTCAAAGTTAAAAGCTAGAGTTTTTTGTTCAGTTTATGTGCATTGAATTTTCATCCCTACACTTTGATTAGGAATCTTGTGTAAATTCATACATCACTTGAGGAGAGCTCTTGTTTAGTTAGTGAATAACTATTTTCCTGGGAAAATTACCAATTATTGTCTGTGTTGGTTTCTTGTTATGCCTCCGCTTTTCTAATGATTTTTTTTTGTTGATGCTTGCACATGTCTTTGTTTTGTTTAGTAAGAAATTGTAGATCAATAATTCTATGGACGATTGTCTCACCAACTCCTTGTTTCTGAGTACCAGATTCCAACTTCGTAGGACGTATTTACAGTTTAAATATCCATGTTGCCTCTTCATATTGTGGAATTTATGGATAATAATTTTTTTAACTGCTTTAGTAAATTTTAACATGTCAGTTATGCTAATTATTATTTATAGTATTTGGAGGGAAAGGACCCTGAGTTACAAGCATCTCGACAAGCTGGACTACTTGATTTTATTGCTTCTGCCCTGCCTGCCTCTCACACATCCAAACCTGAAGCATGCCTGGTTACATTGCACCTGTTAAAACTTCTGAAAGTAGTACTGTCTACACCTGCAAATAGGAGTTATTTTATTGCACTGAATCTTCTGCCTCCAATCATCCCGATGCTTTCAGCAGCTCTTGAGAACTACATAAAGATTGCAGCATCTCTAAGTACTCCTGGCAATGTCAGTTTGCCCTCAACTAAAACATCAGCAGAGAACTTTGAATCAATTTCTGAAATATTAATTAATTTTTTGTGGACTGTTACTGCTATTTTTGGCCATATAAGCTTAGAAGCAAGACAACTTCAGATGCGTGATGGTTTGCTCGAGTTATTGATTTCCTATCAAGTGATTCACCGGTTGAGAGATCTTTTTGCACTTCATGATAGGCCTCAGATGGAAGGGTCAGCATTTCCTGCCCCTATTGTCTTAAGCATACATCTTTTGATGGTTTTGACTTCCAGACCTGGTAAGTTGAGTTATATTGACTGGGAATCTTCCCATGTGGCAACAGAGCAGGAAATCGGCAGTGAAGGGGTTAAGTTTGCAAATTCCGTATTCTCTGTAGTGAAGAACTCTCGGGGAGATTACAATCCCTTATTGGTGATCAACAGTGGTCCAGTTATGCCTTTGCCTGATGTCCCCGAGGATAGACCACTGGATGAAATAAGTAAGGTGAATAGAAATGAAGACTCGTTTTCTATTGGCAAGGGCTGTGAATTGGAGCATGATAGTAGTTCTGTTAAATTGAAAAACAATGATGTAGAGAAAATCGCTAATCTAGATGAATCCAAGAAAAACCAGAATGACGATGTTGTGACTTCTGTTATTCCCCAGAGAGATGAAAAACATACAGCACAGAAAAATGAAAAAGAATCAAATTTGGCTCAGCCAGTGGTATTCCTTCTTTCATCTGTTTCTGAAACAGGACTTGTCAGTCTCCCTTCTCTTTTGACTGCTGTTCTTCTGCAGGCAAACAATAGATCATCCTCTGAACAGGTAGTTTTCTGTAACATGCTATTATGCAAAATCACTTATACAAGTAATAATTTATGTCGGAAGACTTTGTTATGAAAAATTTTATTATTCCCTTTCATTTTCTATTGTATGCTTTTGAGTATATTATTGTTTTGAAAAATTTTGCTGCTAAATATTCCAATGGTATTCCTTCCTGCCTAATGATATAGGATCCTCTTGACTTTTTTGTCTCTTTTTGTAAGACCTCTTTCAAATTTTTAACTGCATTAAATATTTTTTTACCAACATGAGGACCGCTAACAATACACTCTTTAATACACACTTTCAAACACTCTTATTTATTGCTTAAAATTCATATGGCCCCCACCAAAGCACATGAGTCCCATATAAATTTGGTGGGACCCATGTGAGTTTTAACCAATAAAAGAGTGTTGAAAAATGTGTGTTAGAGGGTATAATGTTAGCATTATTCTTACCAACATGCTCCTAATTATGTAACATCTTTTGCTGAAAATGAAATTCAATAATTCAATTTCTTCTAGGGCTCTTTTATCCTGCCATCTAATTTTGAAGAGGTGGCAACTGGAGTATTGAAGGTGTTGAATAACGTGGCTCTGTTGAATCTTGCATTTTTGCAGAGAATGCTGGTAAGTTTGCTGATTCCACTTATAATAATGATAATAATAAGTTATCATTGAAGAAGTTGTATGTTAAGACAAAGACAGCTTAGATATTTAAGGTTGATTTGGTATGTTAGATCATATTTACTCTCTCTATCTCCTTCCTGGTGTCGGTTATTGCACATATTTTCTTATATTCCCTTTTCTGCTTATGCTCATAGGCTATGCCAGATCTGAAAATGGAAATTTTCCATTTAATGAGCTTCCTTCTTTCTCATTGTGCCAGCCGGTGGAAAGCTCCTAATGATCAGGTGACTCATCTACTACTCCAAAATTAAAAAAAAAATCATCAGTACTTTGTACTAAGGAAAGACTTATCTTGGCCTTTGTAACCCTAACTTGCCTAAGTCTAGAACCTTGCATATGAAATCTTGCTGACCCATATATTTAGTTTTACTTCCATTAAACCCCCCAAACATAAAGGATAAATAATTCTTTTTTGTTTTCCCTTCTAATTTTTTGGTACACATCCCTTCCGTACACGAACAAGAGGATACACATAACTTCCAAAAGTAAAGGAAATAATAGTTGCAACTAGTGCGCTTTGCTTTCGAAGCATTTATAGCACAGATTATTACAGTTCATTTATCTTCATGCTATGTTAGAATCTTGATGCTTTCAGTTAATGTGTCAGGGGCTCTGTAGCTACAGCTAGTTTAATGCCATAATCTGCAAATTTTTTTTCAGATTGGTTTGCTCATGCTTGAATCATTATCCCTTCTTGGTCACTTTGCACTGCTTCATCCTGGAAATCAAGCTGTCCTTCGATGGGGAAAGAGTCCCACACCCACCATCCTCCACAAGGTCAATAATTAAGAAATTTTGGCTAAGTTTTTTAATCAATTTTGTTACGATAATCTAATGCTCGGTTGTAAGAATACAGGTATGCGATCTGCCGTTCGTTTTCTTCAGTGACCCAGAGTTGATGCCAATATTGGCTGGCACATTAGTTGCTGCATGCTATGGGTGCGAGCAGAACAAGTTCATGGTTCAGCAAGAACTAAGTGTTGACATGCTACTTTCCTTGCTAAGATCTTGCAGAATTGCTGCACCTGCAACTCAGCTTAGTTCAAACTTAGACAATATCACAACAGATGAATCTAGTGGGAGTAATCAATCCGCTATTGTAAAACACGGCCGTTCCAATGGCAAAGGCACTAGGGCTTCCTTCGGAAAGGGCGGTGCTTTGGGAAATAGTGCGAAAAGTAGCAGGACAAGAAGCATGCGGGATGGCAAGGCAACTAAGAATTCAGATGAAGCGGTTCCTAAGTACTCACATTCAATGTTGCATTGTAGGTTTCCTAACAGTTTCCTTGATAAAGTAGAGCAGTTCTTTTCAACTGATATTACCAACGAGGTTGATTAAGTCTGAGTTTAAGTTTTGTGATCTCATTTTGACACTCCAAGAATCTTCACACGTGCCTATACAGCAAATGAACACACATAAAGCTAACGACGCCCTGAAGACATTAATCTGTCTGAGTAAATAATATAGCAATACACGAAGCATGATTCTTAGTCTTTTAATGCCAAGAATACTCAACAGTTCTGGGAAATACACACAGTAAGGCCGGTATAGCATTTTTGTAATATATACAAATTAATGGAAGAGTGCCCGATTAACTACCATAGTATGGCAGTTGCATGATGTCTAAAGGTGAAAAGTTGGTTTACATTTCCTTTTTGTGATAAAAAAATATATCTTTTTTTATCTGTGTGGTTGATCCATTTAGAATCTACAAAGCACAAATATCTCTAGGAGGTATTTTGCAAAGTCTGACATGTGTCGATGTCAAATACTTGTATAATATTTGTACAATACTTGTCAGATAAGTCTAACAAATGTTCTTAAAAAATGGTTGTTTTCTTTGCTTTGGCAGTCTTTAGATCGGTGTCTGACAACGGTATGACATACTTGTCAGACACGGTATGACATACTTGTGAGACAAGAATTTCCAAAAAATGATTGTTTTTTTTACATCAATATTCTTTGGATTTGGATCAGTGTCTGAGAACGATATGACATTTGTCATACAAAGGTTCTCTCTTTAGATTGGCGTTCAATAGTCGTATGACATACTTGTCATAAAATTCAAGCTGAGTGTGATATAAAAATTTGTTTATCTTTGTTTCAACACATTTAATATTAAACAACTAATAATAATAAGCTATTTTGTTCCCTGTTATTTGGACGAAATTTGAAAAATCTTTCTGTAAAAGAAAAATTTAGATTCCCCCAACATTTGAAAATTTTCCTGATTCAATCTTTCATTAAACCAACTTATCAATTTGTCTGACGTGGCTTTGAATATGTATAATATATATATATATATATATATATATATATGTATATATATATATATATATATATATATATATATATATATATATATATATATATATATATATATATATATATATATATATATATATATATATATATATATATATATATATATATATATTTTTTTTTTTTTTTCATTTTATTATTTACCACGTATATTAACATGTCATTAATTTCATTTTATTATTTATCACGTGTATTAACATGATTAATTTTACAAAGTAAAAATCTTATAATTGTTAACCCTAAATTCCAATTTATGTTTCACGCATAATCCACTTGTCTTCTCCTTCCTCGACATATAACTGCGTTCCTTCATCAATGGTCGGAAATTCAAAGAGTAGCGTGTCCTCTAATTGTAGAATCACTCTCAAATGTAGACATAGTCTTTCAATGAAGGTGTTAGTTTTAAGGTCAACTGCAAATCCTGGTAGAAAATAAGATTTTGGGGGAAAGAAGAAGATTGCCAACTATTTTATTGGGATGATGAGTACTTTGGTTCTATTGATAGGAAGAAAATTGAGGAAGATGATGATGGTTGTAGCAGATGTGATGTCATGATAGAGCATTTGAGAAAATATGGAAAGGATTTTGAAAAAGAATTTGGAAGAGAATTTGGGACAAAACTGTGTTCTAAGGAGATGGAAGATATGAGGAACAAGTTAGAGAGCACAAGGAAGAAATTAACCTTTGTAGCTGTAGTTCTTATTTGTTCTTGAGTTTATTTTGTCATTGTCTAAGCATAGAACATAGTTGTATTGTTTTGTCTATTAACTATGTAGAATGAATGTTGTTTTGAGATGTATTAATGGATGTTGTATTGTGATGTATTAATGAATGTAGTGATTTGAATAGAATGAAAATAAAGTTGTTGCTTCAAATTCTAGTACCTTCTGCAATATATTTGAGATGTATTAATGGATGTTGTATTGTGATGTATTAATGAATGTAGTGATTTGAATAGAATGACATTGTTTTTGCTTACAGTACAACCTTGTGCATTAAGCACATAGTGTGCATTAATCATGTTGTACCAACTTACAAAATGTTAACAAAGGTGACAGTACAACACTACTAAAAACATGGTTGATGTGAAAACCTTACAAATGTGACAGTACAACATGATGAAATCATATGCATAATTAAACAACATAGGTTAAACAAAATAGTACTATATATATATATATATATATATATATATATATATATATATATATATATATATATATATATATATATATATATATATATATATATATATATATATATATATATATATATATATATATATATATATATATATATAAAAGCCGCCATAGGCATAATGTCATTACAACTCACAAAATATTATGACAGTGCAACCTTGTTGCTTTAAATTACAAAACAAAATGACATTACAACATTTAAAACATAAAAGCATTACAACCTTGTTCCAAATTACAAATAATAAAGACATTACCAACTTGTTCCAACTTACAAAAAATAAAGACATTACAACATTCAAAATGAAATTACAACACACACACACGCAATGACATCCATCTTGGCAGTTCACATTAATGAGTTAGTTTTTTGGATATCTCATCCCATGATTTCATCATGCGCACACATGTCTTTAGTTTGAGGTCTGCTTGGCCAATAGTAGTAGCAGGTATATCATCAACATGTGAGCTACCAATTTCCAAAAGTGCATCAACAATTAAACTTGGTCTTGCTTGAAAATACTTTTTAGCCTTTCACTAATCCTAGTAGGTGTTTGAGTTTTCTTCTTAGACATCTTCAACTTTCCATGTTTCTTCTTCTTTGGTGTAAGATTAATGACCTGAGAATGTTGAGTATTTTGTGGTTGAAAAGGAACTTCAGTAGGAAGCAAATGACAAGCAAGCATGAAAGGATCCTCTACAGTTGGTTCAATAGTTTCAGCTGGTTCAAAACTGAGATTAAATTTAGCAGTATCAGCATTTTGAGCTCTACACTTGGTTCAGCTATGTTGGTATTGTTTGAGGTCTCACCCTTGATTCTGGGTGTTTTTCTCTGCACATACACAAAGATAGTAAACCAACAGTAATAATGAGTACACAACAGTCATTGCAATTAACAAACAATGACAATGACTGATAATATACCTTTCTCTTCAATGCATTAATGTCTTGTACTGTGCTTTGGCATTTCCTATAGTTGTGCCCAAATTTATCACACTTTGTGCACCTATAAGTCACACCAGGCCTCATCATCCTTGAGCCTGTTTCATCATGCTCCCTCAACCTTAATTTTTTTGGTCTACCTGGACCCTTCTTAAAATTTGGGGGTAACATTTCTTCAACTTCCACACTTGGCCACATGTTCTTCCCATTGATTGGGCTAACATTGTTCTCATAATACAATTTAGACCAACTCCAACGGTGGTTTTTCAAATTGGTTTGCCAGTTTGGCATTGAAAATGTCAACAAAATGTTATTCCAGCTGTAGAACGTTACAAACATAAGCAACGGTTCTTCATTTGGTTTATTATTAAAATAATCATTTAACTTTATTTTATTTTTTTTAACTTTTTTATTTATTATAAATATATGTTTGTTGGAAAAAATTTATATCATTCCTATTTTCTCTCCTTTTTATTCCTATTTTCTCTCCTTTTTATTTGCTCTTTAATTTCAAATTTCTCTTTCACAATTTCATCATTTTATTCATAAATATTTAATTTTTTTCCAACAATTTCTTCTCATTATCATTTTATTTCAAATTTTCATCTTTTTATTTCAAATTACATTTGTTTAGGCCAAATTTTCATCTTTTTATTTCAAATTACATTTGTTTATGTGATGTTATTTATTTTTATTGTTTTTAATTATGTGATGTTACTTATTTTTATTGTTTTTAATTATGTGACATGTATTTAAATTTAATTTTAATTATTATTTTCAATTTTATGTTTAATTTTAATTTTATGTTTAATTTGTATTTATATTAATTAAAATTTAAATATTTAAATTATAATTTTAAATAAAATAAATTTAATATAAATAATATATTTTAAATAAAATGGTGGGACCCAATATGGGTTCTTTGAAGTTGCACCATTGGAGTGAAAATTGAATGAGTTGCTTTAAAAGAGTGAGTCCCACAAAGAACCCAAAAATGGGTTGCACCATTGGAGGTGCTCTTATATGCCTCCCTCTTGTAACAGTAATCAATATACAATTTTGGATTAAGACTTTGGTACTGCATTGCAGCCACAACATGTTGGCATGGTATACCAACTAATTCCCAAATTAGTCACTCTATTTTGAATTCAAATAGTTTTGTTCCTCTATTTTAAATTCAAATCATTTTAGTCTTGCTCACATTTTTCTTAGAAAATGAATAAGATTTTTATCGTTTTTTAGCTTATATTTTTATCTATAAAATTTAATAATATGTTCATATATAATGATTTGTCATATTTTACAAGTAACTTGTCATTTTTAAAAGGAAAATATTATTAATTTAAATGCAAACGTATGAGAGAAATAAAAAAACATTTAAATTTAAAATAGGAGATCAATATTGTTTAAATTTAAAATATGAGATCTAATTTTGTGAATAAGAAAAAATAGAGAGACAAAAAATATAATTAAACTATTTTATTATATATCAATAAAAAAGTATTTGTCCTATACTTTTAATATATTTATAATTGACAAATATTTCTCCCGTGTTATTTTATACTATCATTACAAAATATTTGTTTCATATTTTTTTAAATTAATGACATATATTTGTATTGAATTTTTTATTGTATTAGTGATAAATATTTCTATATTTTTTTTACATTATAAGTGATAAATATTTGTTTTATACTTTTAGGTGTACAGAGTATTTATTATGTATTTTATTTTGATGAATTGAAGGTAGCAGAATTGAAGGTAGCAGAGTGACTTGTTTGTATAAATTAGAGTTGAGATGTTTAAATTTATTAATGAGAAATTTAAATAAAATAAAGAAAGTTAATATTTTTCTTAATAAAAAAAAGCGGTCACAAC